TTTTCGAAGTGTTGGGTTGACAGGAACTGGGGAGGAAACAGGAGCTCACCCTGTTTAACACGAAGGCTGGACTCGCACACACACACATACGCACATGTCCAGATTGTAGTGGATTAGGAAGAGCTACCCCAGTAATACTGCCCCCAGAAACATCCCTCCCTCTCCTGGTTCACTCAGGAGGCAATAAGTGGTCATCCTCCTTCCTTCAGCAGTTTGCCTTGAAGGGAAAGATGTGTGCTAAAGAGTGGGTCCTTGTTTTACAATGAGCTGTCACTGATTTATTAGAATTCTAAATGAATCAGTGACAGGTAAATGAACCAGAAGAAACTGAAAGGCAAAAAGAGGGAAAACAAATAGGAGAAATGAACAGTGCTTCTGAAGAGGATGTTTTCAGCCTGCTGCTCCCATAGCCAGTCTCACACATGCACATGTGCACACAGCTCAAGCCACGTAAGACCTAAATTGTATCTAGCTTTTACTAGTCCCTAGCTCATTGTATCATTCCTTGATTTCCAATATGGATTTCTGTGGATTGGAGTTTCTCTTTTGATCTGGCTTCTGGTCGGCTCTGGGGAAGAGCTCTGAGGGAACAAAGATAAAAGGCCAAACCAAAAAGCCAGTTCCTTCCTGAAGACCAAATAAGCACTAAGCAATGGTGAAAACAAGAAGAGACCATAGAAAAGGTTGAAAATGGAGACTGTGCTTTGGGAAGAGAGGATTTTGTCCACTGTGACATTTTGTGACAGCAATCAGTTTGGTCTTCAGGAAGGAACTTCTATTGAATGCATTTGCTGTAGTAGTGGATTCCTACACTGAATAGGGTGTTGGACTACATTATCTCCAAGAACCCTTCCAATCCTTACACTGTATGATAAAATCATAGAGTTCGAAGTAACCTAGGAGGTCACCTAGTCCAACTCCCGCACACTGCAGGATTCACTGCACCATCCCTGACAGATGACTATCCAGTCTCTGAAAATCTTCAATAAAGAAACCACTCCCTACGGTAACCTATACACTGACTGACAGCTCTTACTGTCAAGAAGTTCTTCCTAACGTCTAATCTTTATCTACATCCTGGAAGTTTCATCCCATTAGTTCTAGTCTTACCCTCTGGAACAAGTGAGAATAAGTCCGAACCCTCTACAATGTGACAGCCCTTCAGAAGACAGCTATCATGTCTCCTCTCAACCTTCTCTTTTACAAGCTAAACCTTCCTTGGTGTTTTAACCATTCCTTGTAGGACTTGGTTTCCAGTTTTTTTACTGGATCTCACACTCCAGTGTACAATAGGCAAGCTCCATATGGGGGTGTCAAGGAGAAGCAGTGAAGCTAATACTGTATGTCAGTCAACAGAGGACACTTCAGTACCAACAGCAAAGTTTGCTGACTGGGCTATTCTTGTACTGCTTCCAGACTGTGTCTTGTCCTTATTCATTTGTCTGCTGCTAAATCAAATCCACTCACAGTGTTTTACAATATATATAAAATCAAAAATAAAATTTAATTCAAATAAGAAATCAACAAAACAAGCAATAATATTGAGTAACAACATGATTGCAGTGACAACCTTAGCCTTATTACTACTTACTAGCCTTATTCTACATGGCAGAAAATTAAAACCTGAAGGTACTCCAAAGAATCCCATTTTAGCTGCATTCCTGAAGGATGCTAAGATAGGTGTCAACCAGACCCCTGGGAAGAGATGGTTCTACACTGTGCCTTCATTATTCTTATCTCACATGTGTGGGTGATGGTAAGCATCCTCATCAACAATGCACAGAATGGCCCAGTTCCACCTGGATGAAGTAGTTCTGAAGATACCTGGGAGCCCAACCACGTAGGGCTTTGTAGGTTAAAGCTGGCACTTTAAATTGGATCCAGAAACCTACTGGAAGCAAATGCAGTGGCTATAATACAGATGTAATATGGCTGCAGTGGGTCTCTCTTGTAAGCATGCAGCCATTTTGTACCAACTGCAGTTTCCAAGTAGTCTTTAAAAGATGACCCAATTTGTTAGGGTTCAACTTTCATCCAGGTCACTGCAGCCAGGTCAAGACTTCCACAGCATCTCTGGTCTTGCCTATACTGATGTTACTTCATCCTGAACTGATGACTGCATTCTCCCAGTAGTTTCAGGCAGATGTTAAAGGTAGATGTGAGAGTACCAAACCCTGTGGCACCCCGTATGGGAGCAAGTATCAGGCTCACTGTTCCTACCCTACCACTGCCCTTCCACTGACAGCAAGGGGTCCAAATAGTCCACTTCCTCTAAGGCCTGTATATCTGAAATCCCACCATCTTCTCAAATACTTCCCTAAAAAGGGAAGGTTGGAGACAGGGCAATAGTTGTCCAATACAGCTAGATCCAGAGGGAACTCTTTAGAAGGGACCATGCTCTTCATGCAAAAAGGTGTTGACCATGACATGGATCTAAGTGACAGAACTCATATCAGATTGCATGAGGGTTGTCCCACTGGATCCATTGATTGCCCCACTATAAGGCGGTCTCTGGCAAGACCAGATGGGGATGTGATGGCTGTCGTTTAGTGTGCTGATGGGGTGGCTCTCTCTATTCCGATGTCTGGAATTTGCCCTGAGATTTATCATCACCGAGATCTGGGACCTGAGGCTTGGTATTAGGATCTCTATATTCTATATTCTTTTCCCAGACAGCAAAATCTGGAAGACTGGTTTCTCCTGTCTTGTTTGTTGAAATTTAAGAATGGTGACAACCATGAAAGGTGCTTTTTATATTGGCCAAGGAGATACAAGGAGTGTGTATCCAACAGTGATATCTTCCTACTGTATCTCTGGCACTTCCTAAATGAAACCTTTGGGGCCACAGTGTTTCTGACAGTATGGGAGAACTGAAAAAATGGCAAACAGCATGAAAGAAAGACTATTAGAGGGGAAAAAAGAAAAGTGAAAATAAACTGCCAGAAGCTGGACTGTCAGGCTCTGAAAAAGAAATGCCAATTATACTCCTAGTATGGTAAAGGGAAAGGAACTAAGGGAAATAGCAGAAGCCATGTCTATATGGGGACTACTTTCCCAAGAGGGCAGGGCTCTCATCACAATGATTAGCTCTGGAAATGTGCTCTGGAATGTGATTTGGTACAAAATTCTTGTGTATGATTTCACAGACACCATGATGAAGAAATATACCTAAGTTATAATAGTATTTAAATGTTCCAGGTTTTATAATATAATATCAGCTACAACTATAGCAGTGCAAATATGGGATTTGTGCCACAGTAAATTAATAAGAAAGTATAAATGAATTTTTTTTACTTCTACCTCATTTCCTAGCAAAGCAGAAACACATGCTTCAGATGCGTCACAAATGGCTGTCAGGTCATGACCTCCTTCAAGAGCCAGAATAATTCGTCCTCCAGCCAGTCCCATAAGCTGTTTGGTCAGGTATCCAAAGCCTGAGAAGAAAGAAAAAAAAATAAGGTGCAGATAAGCAGCAAAATTAATTCCTCTCAAAAATCAGAAACATAATAAAAAGATTATAATCCAAACAAAATTTGAAAAAGCATTAATGTTTAGACTGACACCATCTCATTTCAATCAAATTCTCCATTTTCAAAGCTATCCCCACAATGGTAATATATATATAATCTGCTTTCAAACTAGCTTGAAGTATCATTTAGTTTACATTTTAATGCAAAGGTAATCAATTCACATTTCCTGAATCTATATAATATCAGAATGCCCCTATATGTTACAACTGTCTATTTTTTTAAAAAATGTGCAGTTTGCAGCTCAGAATTTCCATACACGTGTGTATATAAAGGAACTACATCACAAAAATGCATGCACTAAAATATGCATATTTGGAAAAAATGCAAACAAAAAAGTTTGATGTGAACTGTTTCCTATCAGTTTACCACCACAAACTGGTATGAAATAGTACAGAATAAACTTACATTTGGAAAAATGCGAAACCAAGCACTATTGAAAATTGTTTTCTCCATCTTATTACTGAAATAAGTATGTTGCCTGAGATATCTTAGATTCAACAAATATTTGATAAATTTGTGGCATGTGTGAAAGTAAGCTTTTATAAGTTACATCCAATATGCCAATTCTGTCCTATCTGTGACTTTAGAGCTCTAGAATCAACTACTATAATATGCTCCTGTTAGGATTATCACTGAAGGAATTCTATGTTTTGGAGGACGCAATTGCACATTTGCTAACAAGTTTGAAAAGCACCCAGTCCATCTTCTAATTAATTTTTCAGCTCATTTCAAACTCTCTTTTTGGCCATTCAAATTCTACAGAAATGAGATTTGCCCATCTGAGATACTGCATGTTGTTTCTGGATGATTCCCCTAAGGAGAGTCTACTCTGAATTTCCTCTAAAAAGATTTTAGATAGCTGCAAGGAGAGCAGTCCTTTTCTTTTACCTTATGGTCAGCGAGTGATTTCCCAAGGAAGGTGTGAGAACCGATTTCCTTTCAGCTTGGAGAAGAAGCAAAACAAACCTATTTTTCAAAACTCACAGCCCAATGCTGACTTTACTTCTGAGTTTGCTGTGTTAATTTTAATTACATGTTTACACATGTACATCGAAAGCAATGCCCTGGTGCCGGCAGCCATGAACGTGCTACGCAAGCAGCCTGGTGTATTCCCCATTCTGTGCCTGCTTACTCTCTTGTAATCCCTTCCTCTCCAATCTCTCCAATCTGTGAGGGGAGGGGGAAAGAAAAAAACAGTGATTTCTGTAGGCAATCTCTCCTATGCCTGACCCATTTCCTGCTCCCCTCAGAGAAGAGAGATCAGAGACGAAGGGATTACAAGAGAGTAAGCCGGCACACAATGGGGAATATACTGGGCTGTTTGTGTAGCGCATTCATGGCTGTTAGCACAGGGCATTGCTTCTGAAGTGTATTCCCCACTGTGTGTCTGCTTACTCTCTTGTAATCCCTTCCTCAACAATGAATGTAATTACAAATATTAATTCCCTTCTTGCTAATTATCCTAGAGTTGGGGTTAGCATTCCAAAGGGCGGGGGAGTAGGGAAAAGGAAAGCATAATTGCGGTCACATGATTTCCCATTTAGCAACTGCTTTGCTTAGTGACAGAGCTACCAGTCCCAATTATGGTTGCTAAGCACCATAATTTTGCCTGCACCATTTTTGTCTTTCCTGATATCACTTCAAAATCCATAAAGAGTGAAAAGAGCTAAGTGATTATTAAATTTAAAACCAAAATAGATCCTAAATGCAAGTATATAAATAAATATATGTGAAATTTAAATGCCTAAAAGAACTTACATTTTGCTGATAGATTGTATCCCCCGAGTGGTGCAGGATGACCTTCTACTGCATCAAAACCTGATGACACCAGTACAACATCTGGAGCAAACTCATGAGCAATAGGCATTACTATTGTTCTGCATCATGAACAGCCCAACCCCAAAAAGGAAAAAAAGAAAGGCAGAAAACAAATTACTGCACCTTGCCTGGATACTGAACAATTTGATTCTCTTCTTCACTGGCATTTTCGACACAAATAAGAACCAAACAAGGGAATCAGAAAAGGACTAGAGAAGATGCTATAGCTAAAACAAAGACTGTAGCTCATATTGTAAAACAGAACTTCTGGAGCTTTACCATTTTCCTTTATGCCTATAGCAAAAATGTAGATTGGTCTACAAATTTATGAATAGTTGCACAGAAAACAATGAAATAAAAAGATATAATTACATTGGATGCATGAAGTCTTGTGGATCACATATAATGCTAACCAGATACATCTGAGTTTGCCTGTCCTGACTGAAATCACCAAGAAACAGAGCCTGACAGTAAGTATCAATGGTGAACTCAAGGATGTGGAACACTGATGTTAACGGACAAATATGCAGTACTCTCTAGCCCCTATTGGTTGTATTTACCATTTTTTGGAAGTGCACTGGCTACAGATAATAAGATAATGATCCTGGGCTTTGTGGGTTTTTTGTTCTTAATATTACACTGAGCCTATTTTGGACAACTTTGGCATGTTTTCCACCTCAACATGGTAGGGAACTCTGTTGCCAGTTTTCAGCAATTGTATTTGAAAGATCTTCGGGGGGGAGCACAAAAAGAGATTTGGGTGTGGATGCCTAGCCCAATTCAAATGTTCTGCTTTAGAATACAATGAATGTTGGGAGAAAAGGAGAATAAATATACTAGCTCTTACCCCTCATTGCAGCTTGTTATTTCTGTTGCTCATCAAGTGAATGAACTTCTCCAATGGAGAGACTTCCTGTCTACATATGTTTCCCATGCCATTTGGAATTCAGGAAATATGGGGGATATGTGCAGGATAGATATTTTTGAAATGGGGCCCTTTTAACCCTTCAACAAAAAACAAGCTGCCTATCTCAGTATCTTTAGAATAGTCTTTTGGAAAATAAATCTCTATGTAAAAAACATCTGGATTGTGCTGTCTACCTGACTCATGGAGTCTTGGCTGCTTTTTGTTTAGAATTACAGCTAAACTACAACTAAATTACTAAATTTAAAATAAACTAAATTTTATTTAATTTAATTAAATTAAAATTAAAACAACTAAATTAAAAATAAAAATTACTGCTAAAAAAAGAAAACATATGTTTTCTTTTACGTCTGTGTTTCTTAAAAGTGCAGTCCTAGGACCCCTGGGAATCCCCCAAAACCCTCTCAGGGTTCCTCGAAATCAAAATTATTTGCCAGCCTACATTAAAAAACAATACAATATTAAAATCACATCAAACAATCATGAGAAGCAATATGGCAGCAAATACGTCAATTTTAATTTTTAATACAGTAAATAT